TTAGGAAACAAAACTTCCAGAACACGGCCACACAGCCCGGAAGACCCACACCAGCCAAAGCCAAGTTTTCTTCTACATTTGCTTCTGTGTCTTTTTCAGATTGTTATGCAGACTTTTTGCGGGAAGACTTTGATGTAAAGGCATATACATCTCAATCGATTCATCAAGCTATTATTGCTGAACAATTAGCAAAGCTTGCTCAAGGGATCAGCCAGTTAGATAAAGAGCTCCACTTGCAAGTAAGTACCATGTGTATTACCAGTTGAAGTTAGATGTTAAATAAAATTATGATAGAGTACAATACTTGCTTTCAACAAGAAAATCATTGCAAAATTTTTTTTAGCGAGTCTGTAAATGGACAAGTCCTCTGTACTGGCTGAGGAATTCTGGTAGTTGAAGTCCAGACACCATAAAGTTGCTGAGGTTGAGAAACACTGCTCTAGAATATACCTATAGGTATATGGCCAAGCTCATACTAATGTGATTCTCCCTGTGCATCAGTAGACTCCATGAATTTTCTGTGGGTGGGGCACAGGCAATAGTTTGTTGGCTTATGAGTAAGTCTCTACATAAGAAATCCTAGCTTACATGGTCAAAGTGTGCCACAACTGATTAATACTGTCTTTACAGTTAGCAGGCAATGCTGCATGTAGCATGAGTGTGACTAAAGCTGTTGTTAGCTTGGTCTAAATCTACTCTAACTTACTAGTTAGGTTACATTAAACAAACTTGAAAATAGTCAAACTGTAGTCCTAATTTATTTGTGGTACATTAAGATAAGGCCTCTGTGAGTTTGAATTTTTTTCTCAGAGATTCCCTAATAGACAAACTGAGGCCTCACTTTAGAGATAAGGCTGAAAATCTGTGCCTTCATTTGCCATGTTTTCAACAATTCACTTTTCTTTCTCAGATCCTGTGAATACCCTGGTAGTCACTTTCTCTCAACCCATTGTACATCACAGGTGGTTGTTATATAGAAAAATAAGGAGGAAATGGTATATGTATCATATTTAGCTCCTAGAAGAAAGGCAGGATGTAAACCTAATAAAGAAATAAACTTGTGTTATGGGTTTGTGTTACATTACAGATTTGCACCATGTGTTAATCCTGCCATTATTTACTTAAATTTTCAAAAGACCTTAGAAGAAAAGTGCTTCATCCAGGATACTGAGTGAATTTAGTAGTTCTGAGATAACAGAGAAAATCTTTTTAGAGATCAGTAGCTGCTTAAACAAATGAAGTTGGGCATGGCCCAACCATAGTTAAAATCAGCAATTAAGCTAAAACAAAATTACACACTCTAAATCCAATATAAACCATAAGAATACCATTTATACAAGAATAAAATCCTACACCTGTAACCAGACAACCTGCCATCTGATTTTAATAACCAGGATGCAGAGAGTTGGAAGGAAAAGATAGTTCTGAGAATGGATTAACTCAGACAGTGACTTTCCAAAGATCCATACTGAGACTAATGCACATTAACTTGTTCATACATTATCTAAGTTATGGATGAACAGCGAGGTATCACAACTTGCTGACAATTCCAAATTAATAGACCTATATATGGGTGTTCTATAAAGATTAGATTGGCCATTTTGAGACTGAAAATTGAAATGCAAACCTTTAGTCTAATCTTGCATGTTCTATTCTTAAACTGTGTTTTAATATTGGGTTAGTATCAGTTCATTTTGGATGAAATATTAAGATCAGTATACAGCTGCCAGGAAGTCTTATATTTAGGACTGCAGATGCGATGTTGGACAGAATCATAAGGACCGTGCTGCAGGTTCTGCAAACATTGCATTTTGAGTTTGTGCCACTTAGACATCAGATTCCATCCAAACTATCTATTTATGTATCAAATTTATATAGCTGCCCATCTCACAAATGTGAGCCTGAGCAATGTACAATAAAACAATTAAAAAGTTAAAAATAACCATTCGAAAGAATTCAACATAAATATAAATAAGACCGCAGAAGAATGGACCAACATCCTACACATAATACAACCACCTTGTGGGGTTCATATATTCATGGGATCCCCAAGCCTGCTAGAAAAACCATGGTTTGAGAGAGACCAATAGGGTCTTTTAAAATACTTTTTAAATCTAAATTACTTTTTAGATTATGATTAATACTTTCACTTTATAGGTAGTTGCAAGGCACGAGGACTTGCTGGCACAAGCAACTGGCATAGAATCTTTGGAAGGTAAGCAGTTTTCGTTTATTATAAAATTTACGGAGGGCCTATAAATGTGCTTAAGTGTAGGCCTTCTAGTAAGTGTGCATCACTCTTATGTTCTAAATCAATCTCCAGAGAGGTATTTTTAGGTGTGTCATCTAGGGAGTTGGTAAATAAAAAATGATAAAAGTTACAGTAGAGAAAAGGAATGTAGGGTAAACACATGTATTTCCAATCAATCCTCATAAATTGTATCTTAAATACTAGATTATGTGGTTTTCATGGGCTTTATTTTGTATTAATGCACAACATTAATTTCCAGATTAATTTCCAGAAACAACTGACAGGTTTTATTTTTATATATTTATATTCCCATAGGGTATTTTTATTTTTTTATTTGTTTGAATTTATATCAAAGACCAAAACATGCATACCAGAAAATAATAAAACCAGTTATAAATATTAAGACATCTAAATTTCTGTACAGTTAGTGTCTAATGGCAATAGTATTTGCAATAACCTTGGTGACTGTTCTAGAAATGTTTAGAGCAGTGTTTCTCAACCTTAGCAACTTGAAGATATGTGGACTTCAATTCCCAGAATTCCCCAGCCAGAATGTTGGTTGGGGAATTCTGGGAGCTGAATCCACATATTTTAAAGTTGCCAAGGTTGAGAAACACTGGTTTAGAGACTTGTCAGTTAGGAGTTGTAGAATGCTCTCCTCGAAGCTGCTATGCAAATGGGTTAAGAGAAGTGTTCTTAAGCCAACTTGTAACACCATGGAAGGGACAGTGAAATAACATGTGCCACCTTAGAATGTTATATATAATATGTGAGCTTATGGCAAAAAAGGAGGAATAAGCATTAAAAAAACATGAAAAATTAAAAAGAAAGTGCCTATGACATGTTTTATTACTTGAGCCCAATGCATTTTGAATAAAATCCTTTATTAACAGAGCCATGTGAAAGAAACTCACGTAACACAGCTTTTAAAAAAAATACAAAATAATTCAAGCAAAGCTTGAGTTAAAACAGAACTATATACTGTTTGTTATGCAATCAGAAAATAATTTAAACAAGGTAATGAGGTAGAATGCTCAAACCTAATAACCTACAACTGGCACAGCAATTGTATAGACTTAATTTTATGGACTTATTTATTCTAACTGGCATTTGTTCACCTTTTCTAATTACTAATTCTAATATATCTTCAGAGTGCAAGTATGGATGTCCAATGGAATCTACAACCTGTAGTTTCTTTTCTGTGTTATTTTACATAGCCACCTAATTGAAACATGCTTGTACTTTGGTTGCATCCCCAGCAGTTAAAATGAACTTGCGTGTACATTCTTAAAGTGAATGCATGGGGATTCTAGATTCCAGAGAACCCTTAGCTTCATATGGAACTGGGCCACTTAGCTGAAAATATAACTCTTCTTCTCTTTAATCCTGAAATATTAGGTGTGGCTTTTTCAGTGTCTTACATATTTGTAAGCCTCTGAGATAGTGAAAAACATGTTTCAAATTTAGTCAGCATAAGGGGATTTATGATACCTTTTCCTGAGCAGTAGATTTTATACTGGGGCTGGGCAATGTCTGAGAAGGTAGCAGAGATGTGGTTCGGGGCTGGCCCATTGCATTCTCCAAGCTTCTTTCCAGGTTGCAAATGTTTCATTACCCTATTGCACATCATTCTCAGTGCAGGATGAAAATACTATGTGGTAGGGTAGTGACTGGCATTTGTTCAGGTTTTAACCAGTCCCCGTTCCTAACCAGAATGCCCCCCCCCATGGACAATTTCAGATGGGGGGAGGAGTTTAAATGTAGGAATGGGAATGGTTTACCTCACAGGGGCTTCCCACTCCTATTCCCACTCTAAAATCCCAAAGAAACACACTGCTGAAATCAGTGTGTAACTCTGGAAGTGCTAGAAACTGCATGCAGGCTGCCGAGTTGCCCATCCCTGCTTTACACCTTAGTTTAAAGTGCATTAAATAAATGATTTCAGAAAGCAAGTTTAAACTGTCCTGAGACAGCTTCCTTTAAATTCAGACTGTCATGGTTTATTTATTAAATTTATATGCCACCCAATTCCCAGTGACTCTGGGTTGAAAGGGGCTTCAGTCAGAAGGCCTGGGTGAAGAGCCAGGTCTCCAGGGCCCTTCAAAACACTAGCAGGGTAATGCACAATATGACATTCATATTTACAGTATATATTTCCAGCAGGTGGAGCAGTTCTTAATCTATATTCTGCAGATCACTTTTCTTGCTAAATAGAACTATTGCGTAGAAAACAACAGATATAGACAAGAATATGTGCCACAATCTATAATCCGGTTTGGGTAATAGAAGTTTTAATGAGAAAATGCTTACAGCACATAAACTAATAAATATAATTGTGTTCTTCTTTCTCCATTGCCGTATTGTAAATGCAGTCCTGTAAGCCACTTTGTTTCCTAGAGAAGTGAGATATAATTCAGATCCAAAGGTGCTTTGGAGGGGATGTGGGAGCAGAGTAGCCCTTTGGTCCCAGGAAAATCCATATTTGTGTTGAGATAGCCAAAGGTGTGATTATCTTGTTGCACCTGTCTGAGCCTCCTTAACTCAAACCCAAGGTTTCCTGGGATTGTCCAGCTACATGCTTCTTTAAGGAGGCTCCAGCAGGTGCAATGAATGTAGCCATGTTCTCTCCATGGGTACATTTTTCTCTTTGGAACTGAATATTTGCATGTCACTAGCAGAGAACATATTATGGACCCTGCAGGTGATGCCATTACTTGAAAGGTTCTTATTGATTCCAAAATCCAAATAAGGTTTTGGAAGATCCCTGGAATTATTGTTAGTAGCAAAATTCGATACAGTCAGGCCAGCTGGACATAAATTCCTGTTGATGCTGTCATCAAACTAAAATGATCAAATGTTGGAATTGGAGCAGAATAAGAACTGTGCTTTATTTATAGCAGTTAGTCAGAAAAAAATCCAGTGATGGTTTGCTGGTGAAAAGATTTTCTCATTCAGATGCTATGAAATACATTATTGAGACCTCTGCTCCTGCCTTGAATGCTACTTCTCTTCAGTATTTAGTTTTCTGTTGCTGGTTGGTAAAATACTCCAGAGATAATGGTATCTGTTGACTATCATCTCTGCTGCTTCATCATTGCCCTGGCCTAGAGATGTACCCTACTTATATGTTCAAATGATACTCCCATCTTCTGGAAATGAATATTAAGATCAGAGATGGATTTGGAACCTTTTCCATGCAGATGATGTGTTTCAGCAATTCAGTCCCCCAATGGTTGAATTACGACCTTAGAGGAACAAATGTGTATTCTTTCTGTAACACTCTCCTTATATCTATTAAAAATGCTTTAAATGCTTTTTGCTGAGTTGATATGTGATTTAGGAGTAGTTCCAAACTGCAGACCTAATCCTTCAGGGGTGCAGCTCCATTTACAGCAACCCGTATTCCTGGTTCTGGATTAGAATAACCAGTGACTATTGGAAGCTCTGTTTTGTCTAGAATTAGCTTAGTTAGTTAGTTTATTCAGTTTGATGCTGTCCACATCCAGTCCATAACTGCACCTAGGCAAAGTTAATTATTCAAAAATCTCCATGTCATCACTTGGAAAAACAAGTGATCATTGTCTTAACAATGCATTCCAAGCTGTAAATAGTGGATGACATCACTCAGTGAATTCATACTAATGTGTAAAAGTTAAAAAAAAAAAATCAGTTCCTGAAGAGCCAAGGATTGAGTGAGAAACATTTTTGGGCTGGTAGGTACATTTTAATTTTTGAGAAGAGGCGTGCTCTCACCAAATGACTGCTAGGGTGGACATGGCCAATCAGGAAGCATCAACTTGCCATTCTCTTTCTCTGGACATGTGGCTACACTTCCCAACAAAGCACTTATTAAACATTTTCTAAGAATACATACGGGACTCAAACACTTCTAGAAATAAAGGTCATGCCAAATGTTCATGCTTTGCAGTGTGCCGGTTCATATATTCTATTCTTCATAAACATAATATAAAAGTAAAACCAGGCATTGCAGGAAACCTGACAGGAGTTAAGAAAGGTGTGTAGGTTATCTTCCAATAATCTGAACTGATCTGCCATTAGGAAATGTTAAGGCAAATAAGGCCAGAATTAGGGTAATGCAATGTTGTGAAGTGCTGTACTAGCTAAATGCTATAAGATATCCTGGGTAATGATACTGAATGCCACTGAGAGATGCTGGAGAATCAAGAGGGGTCTGCTCTTTCCTTCTGATTATTAGTACGGGTCAGGGTTTCTCAACCCTGGTGGCTTTAAGATGTGTGGACTTCAACCCCCAGAATCCCTCAGCCAGCCATGCAAGCTGGGGAATTCTGGGAGTTGAAGTCCACATATCTTAAACCTGCCCAGGTTGAGAAACACTGGTATGGGTTATTCACCAAGATGGCTACAGCTGTTTCAGCCTCCAAATTGAGCCTTATCCCAGTTTTCATATTTAAAGTTTGAGCAGCCATAATGATTATAAACTGGTTGCAAACCTAATACATATATTTTCCTATTAAATAATGCATAATATTGAGTCTGAATCCTGTCTCCTTTATGTATAAGTGACTAAGCATTGACAAATGTGTGGGCTGACACATTCTTATTGCCTCATTCTCGTATGCTTAGCCTTCTTGGGTCCATATATAGAATTGGACTCCTACAGACATATGACTTTATACTTGAGATGGCATCTTTGTAGTCTGAAAGATGCATCTGAAAGATGTGTGAAAATGTAATTATTATAGCCTCTTTGGGAGAAAAATACCAAAAGGGTCTTTTGATAACCAAATGGCATAGATATGTTAGTATTTCCCTGTTTTGCTTGAATATTTTTTTTTATTTGCAAAGATAATTCTGCACTGTTATTAGCTTGCAAATTTGTTCTTATGTAGTTAACTGTGTTTCCCCTAAGAATTGCTTTCTTTTAAGTAATCCAGAACCAAATTTTTGCTAAATTCTGCTACCATGTACATATCCAGATGCTA